GTTTTGCTAGAGTGAGGTGAGGCATAAATCAAAGCTCTGGTTCCTTTAATAAATTCCATTAGCTCAAATCTATATACAAACTTGTTTGTCAGAACAAACTCTTTTATTTGTCTCTGGTGTAGTAGAGTGGATTGAGTGTTGTTCTGAGAGTGAGGAAGACCTGAGTTTAAATCCCTCCTCAGATACTTAGTAGGTGTGTGACCCTAAGTGAGTCACTCCAACTCTCTGTGCCTCAGTTTCCTGGTTTCTAAATGCTCTTGGAGCTTTAAATGTTTTATCTTATGACCATCATTGATGGAGGGCTGGATCCTGCCTATGGTAACCACTTAACAAATGTTCATTGGATCAGAGGATTAGAAGAGACATCTCTTTCTTGCCCTCTTTTCTTGTCCATTTTTTCTACACCCTCCCCTTTTCTTCCTTTTTCCATTGACCACTGAGGCAATGTATAAGACCAACATTGTGTTCTCTGGGTGCAAATCTCAAAGTCTAGGGTCCATGTGAATAGGCCTGGTTTAAGCAACCATTCCAAAATATCTCTGCTGAGGCTAGGATGTTGGAAATGTGCTGTAGTTATTATTTAACTAATAAATGGCAAAGAAAGGAGTTTTCTAGATAGTGGAAATTTCTGGCTAAATGAAAGAGTTAATGCTATTCTCTTCTTTCTCAGCAGTTTACCACTACCACCCCCCCCCGCCGACCCTGTATTTCAATCCCTTTCTTACCAAATGGCACTAAGAGACTACCACAAATCGTCTTGGACAAATTTTGTTCTGTAGACACAAGTCAAGAAGATCTTGGTTGTAATACTGCCTATGATATTTACTATCCACGTGACCATGTTATGGAATCTTTCTGAGGCTCAGTTTTCTCGTCCATAAAATGGGGAGATTAATTCCTGTAATCCATGTGACCACAGAATTGTGAGTCCAAAGTATGATGTGAACAGAGTGCTCTGAAAACTTTAAAGCCCTTTTTAATGGGAGTTATTGATGTCACAGCTAGTATCTGAGACAGGATTCAAACTCCAAGTACTATTGCTCTATCCTCTGTACTACCTGGCTGTCCTGTCTCTGCCTTGATCTTCATCCAAATGCTCTCTTCCCTGTCTTCCCCACTCCCCACCACTCAGACTCCCAAGTTTTCCTCTATGAATATATCTTCTTGATATTCAGCAAGGTGGCAAAACAGACAGATCCCTGGGCCTGGAATCAGGAAGACCTGAGTTCAAATCCAGCTTCAGACACTAGCTTTGTGACTCCAGGCAAGTCACTTAACCTCTGTCTGCCTCAGTTTTCTCCTCTGTAAAATGAGGATAGTAATAGCATCTACCTTTCAGGGTTAGTGTGAGGATCAAATGAAATAATATTTGCAAATTGCTTTGCAACCTTGAAGAACTATGGAAATGCTAGCTATTAGCTATTACATATACTGTAACTCCACTAACTCTTTAATAACCCCTTTTCCTTTTGAAAGGAACTTCCCAAGGCTTGTCCATTGTGACAGCCACCAATTTTAACTGGTGTTTCACATAGGGACAAATAATATAGTTAGAAGAAATCTTTAAACAACAAACAAGAAGAACTAACAGTCCTCACACAAGGGGGTAAATTCGACCTCGTAGGTATCACTGAGACTTGGTGAGATGAAACTCATGAGTGGATTATGGCTCTGGATGGGTACAACTTATTCAAAGGAAACAGGCTCAGTTAAAGGGAGTAAGGGAATCTTTATATAATAAAGTATACTCGTGAGGACATGTAGGAATCAGTAAGTGGGAAGAATGATTAAGAGCGTTTGGGTGAAGATCAAGGGAAGGAGAAACAGAAGAGTTTATGTCATTGAAGTATACTATAGACCATCTGGTCAGGAAGAAGAAATAGATGAGTGGTTAGAGAAACTGATTATAAGCCTGGCAAAGAAGCATGATATAACTGTGATGGGAGATTTGAATTATCCTCAAGAGAGATCTGGGGCTCTCTCTTTTCCCAAAACAGAGTGGGCAATAACTTCTTGACTTGGTTTAGTAAAAATATCATCCTTCAAAATGTGGAAGAATCAAGAAGGATACACTGCCTTGGGAGATATGAAGGTTCCCCTTTTCTGGAGCTTTTTCAAGTGGAAGGAAGATGAATGACCATTTGTTAGTGGTGGTGTTGAAGGTGCCCTTGGTTATATATGGACTAGATTAGATTGTACATGAGGTTCCTTGCAACTCTGATTTTCTGGGTAACCCTACACAACTTAATGGCCACCAGGCATCACTGTTTTATAGTAAGTGCAATGATTGGTTTTTATAATGATCCCAGAATTATAGAACTAAAAAGTTGGAAGAGACATCAGCTGTCTCCTAGTTCAACCCATTCTTGGGGAAAAAATCCCCATTCTAACATATCCAACAAGTGGACATCCAGCCTCTGGCTGAAGGCCTCCAAGGTGGGGGCACTCATCGCATCTCAAGACAGTGGCACATTCTTCTTTTGGACAACTCTAGTTGTTAGAGTCAATTATGCTGCTGAGTCATCAATAGAAAGTTAATTAGGTTTAGCACTCTCTGTTTAAGTGGGTGCAGTCGTGAGGAACATATTAAAGAAAGATTTCTCCCAAAAATGTTTAAAACTAAATGAATTTGGAGGATGAAAGGGGATAAGCTTCAGTTATCTGGAAAATTCACTTATGTGGCACCTCAATGACAGACATTTGTATAATCTATCCCAAAGTCCTATTCGATGTATGTGTTCCCCCTAAAGACTTCATTTGTGAGCCACTGGAGTGAATATGAAGGGCATTCACTGAGTGAACCAAGGTTTTCCATCTTTTGGTAAAGGGAATCAGAAAAAAATAAATCTGTTTCCTTTGATATTCACACATTTATTCATAATCAAATACTGAGATGAATAGTACATTGTTTCCACAAAGGTCAACATTTTCATTTCTTTAGAAAATCACGTTTAGGTATATAAATAAATTCAGTTGCATGTGCCAGACCCAGATAAACCCATCCAGGAAGCCTGGGCAAGGCATCATCAAGGGGTGGCCACATAGAGAGATTCTAAGGCTATTGGAAAGTCATGCCAGGCATATCGGCTCATCACAGGAACATTGGGTAGGAACCTCAATTTTCTCCTCCACATCCTCGGACTTCAGCTCCATCCTTGATGGTGCAATGGCAAATTGGGCATCAGAATCTGTCCAGGAAGAAAAAGAAGAGATTTGTAAATTAGAAGGCTTAGCAGAAAGAGCAGTGGCTCTGGAATCAGGAGGCAGTGACCTTGGGCAAGTCACTTAACCTCTTTTTGCATCAGTTTCCTCATCTGTAAAATGGGGATGATAATAACACTTACCTCCCAGAATTGTTGTGAAGGTCAATTGAGATAATAATTGTAAAGCACTTAGCACAGTGCCTGGAATATAGTAAGTGCTATATACACGTTAGTTATTATTATTATTATTATTATTATTATTATTATTATTATTATTACCTCCCTATGCTCAGATTCCTCACCAGTAAAATTAGGGGGTTGGACAAGAAGGTCACTGATTTCCCATTTGGATCTAGGTGCAGGGTCCTGTGACCCCCAACATTGTGCTCAAAGGCAATAAACATAGCAGATTAAAACCAACTCAGGTGGAGAAAGGGCGAAGGAGGATTCCCTTCTCTCAGGACTGAACAAAGTCATCCGGAGCACTCAGACAACGCTTAATGTAGATTCTAAATCAAGCCAGCCCCCCCCCCCGGAACATCATTGTCTTTACTACATTTTTATTACTCAGATATATCTGCCTTGGAATGTATTTAACAAGCCTATTGAAATAATTTCTCCTTGAGATTTAAAACTCTCTGGTTATGTAACCACATAGCTCAAGGTGTCCGTATCGATGCATCTCCTTAACAGTGCCTGAGTAAGGTAGGCACTCTCAAAGTTGTCCTGCTCTTGTGTGTTCAGAGGAGAAGGCAGAGGAGTGTGTGAAACCTCCCCTCGCCCAGGTCTGATACGAGGGGCACCTGGGAAATGCGGTGGAGAGTACCTGGCAAAAATATCCTCCCATAGAGGCCCGAAAATTTTCATTTTAAAATGTCTCCCTGGCTGAAATTCTTTCAAGTAGAAATTTATGTTAACAAACCTGTCTTTCACGCTGAAAATATCCCTTGGGAAGGAAGGGTTGGAGGCCTATCCCTAGGGCTATCTACCTACCTATAAGATCTCAGAAAAGTAGCTCTTAATCATCCAGGGCCTCAGTTTCCTCATCTGAAAATGGAGTAAGAATATGTGGCCTCTGAGTCCTCTTCTAGCTCTAATTTTAGGATCCCATGTAATTAATATATCTGATTAAACTATTCCACATTTGTGTTAATTGGTGGGCTCGGATATTAGGGTGGAGCAGAGGCCAGCATGTGCAAAGCAGAGATAGACAAAGAGCATCATGGAGACAATGAACTCTGGGAAAGAGGGAGCACCAATAGATGGGAAACTGGGGAAGAATGGGAGGTGGGATGACAAGTGTGTCAAATACCTCCTTTGGGCATTCTGGCCAGGTGTCTTATTCCTAACCATCTACCAAGGGTATGTTGAAGCCAATACAAATTGGCCCATGAGAGATTGTTAAATTTTCAGTGTGAGTATTTATACTTTGGAAATTGTCAGATTCTACAAATCAAGGCTCAATTTATTGCTTTGTTTATTGTCTAGACTTAAGAAAGTGGTGTAGAAAATGCTGATAACACAGATTAAATGTAAAAGTGTGTCTTGTGCGCATCCCAAATCTGTCTGTTAACTCTTTACCTACATACCCCTGATCCTGACCATGCGGCTCAGAATTGGGCAGGCCATGTCTCCTGCTGCACAGGGAGGCTCATTTATTGGTGGTAATATCCATTCTTCTTGCTGCTAATGGTTCCTGGCTCTTGGTAAGTGCTCTCGGGACATGGGGCAGTCTCCCCATCTGGTTCTTTTTCTTGATAAGGATAAGCTGAACCCGTTGCTTTCTTGTACCACTAGGGATACTTACCAATTGGAAGGCAATGAAAGCCAACAAGGGTGGTGGTGGTTTGGCCCACTCTGCAGTCTTTCAGACATCTCAACACCGGCTGCACCGATGAGCATGAAGAATTTTCTCCTCGAAGGTAAATTGCCTTCTCAAGTCTCATGAATTTGTGTTGAAAGGGGCAGACTGCAACCAAACCATAGTGAATTCCAGAGATTTTTTGCATTTTTTCTTCCTTACCCCCTCCTGTCTTCCTGCCTACTTGGCCTTTGATATGATTTCTAAAGCCACAGCAGCAAAACCCTGGTGGGCAAGGGCCTCCACGGGCAGAACCATTATACATGCAACCAGCCCAGAGTTAGCCCCCTGACTCCATGACACTTCAAACTCAACCAGGCTGGGGCATGGGCTGGGCAGCCTTTGCAAAGTATTGTCTGCCTCCCTTGGCCTCAGGAAGGGTCACTCTGCTCTTGCACCTGCCAGCCAAAGAGGCCTGATACATGGAAGACGTTCCTTCAGCTAGGGTGTAGGAAGGCTGGACTCTAGTTGTACATGCAAAGGGCTTTAGGATTTTAAAGCACTATAGAAATGTGAGATGTTTTTATAACAATAACTAGCATTTACATTTAAAGTTTGCAAAGTGTTTTATAGAAATGATCTCATTTGATCCTCACCACTATTATCCCTAGTTTACAGATGAAGAAGCCGAGCCTAAGAAAAGTTAAGTGATTTGCTCAAGGTCACAGAACTAGCCATTTATTAAAGGTGGGATTTGAACTCAGGTCTTCATGACTCCAAGTCAAGCATTCTATCCACTGTGCCACCTAGCTGCCTTTTCTTACAGGGACAAGTGTTCTGGAAAGATCACTGGATTTTGAATCAGAAGATCTGAGTTTGAAACACTGCCACTCAGTCGATAACTCTTCATTGTCTTCTGCTGTAAAATGATGGGATTAGACAAGCTCCTTGATAAGATTCTTTATGGTAGCACTAGTAGAAGTGGTAGCTAATGATTAATAGCTAGCTTTAAAGCTTACAAAATGCTTTCATGCATTACCTCATTTGATCCTCACAACACCTTTGGGAGGCTGGGGCTATTATTCCCATTTTACAGATGAGGAAACTGAGGCTGAGTGAGGTTTAAGGAACTTGCCCAGGGACATACACCTGGTAAGTATCTGAGGCAGGATTTGAACTCAGGTCTTGTCTTCCTAACTCATCACTGATATCCTATGACATTGGCAGAGAGAAACTATTATCATTATTATTATCTAATATTTGTATAGTGCTTTAAGGATTGCAAAGCAATATATACATATGTTATACATACATATATACATGTATAATATATATTATATACACACACACATATATTGCATATATAATGTTTTATATGCAATATATAATACATATCATATATATATGCTATATATAATATATACTTATAATTAAATATAATATATACATATATAATTATATATGAATTTTCATTACTTTTAAGCACTTGACAAACCTTAAGTAATAATGATGACTGCCATAATAGCAAACATTTATACAGTGCCTTAATTCATGTTAAGTTATCTTTGGGCACATTACACATATGATCTCATTTGATCTTCCCAACGCCCCTGAGAGGTAGGTGCTATTATCATTCCCATTTTACAGGTGAGAAAACTATGGCTAAATGAGTTTTAAGCAACTCGCCCAGGGACACATAGCTAGTAAGTATCTGAGGGAAGATTTGAATTCAGATCTTCCTGACTCTATCTCTGGTATCCTATGACATTGGCAGAGATAAACTATTATTGTTATCATTAATATTGTTAATAATTATTATTTTTATTATAATTAATTATTAATATTAGCTAATATCTATATGGTGCTTTAGGGATTGCAAAGCAATATATAATTATACACATATATACATATATAATCTCATTACTATTAAAGTACTTTAAATAAGAACAACGATTACAATAACAACAAACACTTATATAGTGCTTTCATTTATCTTTCTTTGGGCGATTTACACATATTACCTCATTTGATCCTCTCAACAGCTCTGAGAGGTAGGATGATTACTTCCATTTTACAGATGAGGAAACTGTGGCTGAGTTAGGTGCCTTGCCCAGGGTCACAGGATAGTTAAGTGTCTTAGGAGGAATTCAATCCAGGTCTTCCAGTGGCTCTCCATACCACACTCATAATTCAACAGACCAATTCTATGCAAGGCATAGTACTAGGTGTTGGCATGCAATATTTTTTAAAATGACAGTCTAGGTTCCCAAGAAGCTCACAGAGAACTGCGCTGGGAAGATAATTTTGATAGTGGTGCGTAGGATGGATTAGAGGAAATTGAAGGCGAGGAAGAGAGACTGATTGATTAGGAGGCTTGGCCAAGAGTGCGAATGAAAAGTAAGGAAGGGCTGCACTGAGGTGATCACAGTGGGAATGACAAGGAGAGGGAGGAAGCCAGAAATAATGGGACAGTCAAGAACATGAGATCTGTCATCTGGTTGGTTTTGGGCCAGTGGAGACAGGCGAACTCCAAGGTGACTGTCTTTCCCTTAATCTGCTATTGTCTGCTATTGTTTATAAAAAGCGCTTTCTCTTTTCTGCCTGCCCACCTGCTGAGACTGTAAACTTCTTAGCAGAGGACACATCTTATACCTCTTTGTATCCTCACAGTCTCTAATATGTCATTTTAAAAAATTAGACTTCTGATTTCATTGTCATAGGGAATTCATGAGGAGAAGACTCCAGCAGTTTTGTGTATGTTCAGTCATTTTTCAGTCATGTCCAACTCTTTGTGATCCTGTTTGGGGTTTTGATGGCAAAGATACTGAAGTGTTTTGCCATTTCCTTCTCCAGTTCATTTTACAGATGAGGAAACTCAGGCAAACAGGGTTAGGCAGCTTGCCCAGGGTCACACAACTAGTAAATGTCTAAGGCCTGATTTGAACTCAGGGAGATGGGTCTTCTTGACTCTAAGCCTGGCACTCTATCCCACTATACCACCTAGCTGCTCAATCAATTGATAAGCATTTATTAAGTACACTGAGAGGCTAAGTCACTTTTCCAGAAATGTAACTCTAGAGCAAAAGCTAGAAAGTACCTCAGAGACCATCTTATACCAACCCACTTTTCTTACAGAGTTCATGGAGGTTAGATGACCTTCTCCTGGGTCAAACAAGAAGAAAGTGGAAAGAGTGGAATTCGAACCCAGCTCCTCTAATTCTAGCTCCTCCCTCCTGTGTTTCAGCGGGACTTGAGCTCAAGTTTTCCTGATTCTGAGGGGATCATGCTGCATCAAATATGACTCAATAAATATTTGTTGAATGAACAATGAATGGAGGCGGTCCCCCTCTAATTCTGAAATTTGATGAGTCTAAGAATTGTGTCCATGAGCCTTTCTAGAGCTCTCTTTGGGCACTAGTGTGAGAGTAAATTAAGAATAAGAACAATAGTAATAGCAGTAGGGTAGATAGCTGGCCTTGGGCTTAGGAAAACCTGGGTTCAAGTCCCTCTGCTGACACATATTAGCTATATGATATGGAGAAAGTCATTCACTGCCAGTACCCTCATCAACTCTCCAAGAGTTAATATCTCTTAAGCTAGATTACTTCCTATGGAAAATGGGGATGATGATAGCAGCTACGCTGCCAATCATATCAAATGAGATCATGTAAAACACTTGTAAACCTTAACATGCTGTGTAAATGCTAGCTACTATCATTGTTATTGTTACTGTTGTTATTATTCATTCATGCATTCGTTTATTTATTTCAGGTTGCAGAGAAGGTACCAATATGGGTTGATAGAGAAAGTTCCTAACCTGGCATTCCTTCCATAATGCAATTATAAGACTGGTCCAAAAGAAATTATAGTAACAACCCACATTTGTATTGTACTTTAAGCCTTCTGATAACTTTCCTAATGATATCCTTTTGAGATAGGTAGTGCAAAGTTCATTATCCACTTTTTTAGAAAATATGTCAACCTTGGGCATCCTCTCTACCATCAAGTTACTAACATCAAGGCCAAGGCAGCCTGGGTTTAGGAATAAGTATGGAGTCTGTGTAGAGCATGTCAGAGAGATAGAGAGAGAGAAAGAGAGAGAGACAGAGACAGAGAGAGAGAGAGAGAGTTGTACAGGTGTATTTGATAGAATGATATAAATAACTAAAATCACTGCTTGTTACTGGCCAAGCTTCTTCTTCCTTCCACCCACACAAACAACTGAAAGTTCATTGGATTGCATGCCCCTTCAGCAAGCATTCATGGCACTATGTGAGGAAGCTGACATATTTGGAGAGTATACTGGGTTTCCAGTCAGAGCACTTAGTACTACTGCTTACAGCCATGGGACTGTGTACAAGTCACCATTTCTTTGGGCCTCTGTTTCCTCATCTATAAAATGGACTGAACGATCTCCAAGATTCCATCTCTGAATACATGATCTCATGAATCTACATGGAGCGATTAGAAAGAATACAATTCTTGCTTTCAAAGATCAGTTATTATTAAAGAGCCAAGTCTGGTGGGTCAGCCATGCATGAGACTTTGTAACTGCTTGCAATCCATTAGAGTTCTATTTTCCATGAATTAGAGAATCCTGGGAAGGAACTATAAGATATAAACTCATCTAGCCCCCTAACATCTGGCGAATGTCTAAACTACACAAGACAGATGGTTGTCTGTTCTCCTTTAAGATCTCCAAGGAAAGAGACTCCTTAGTTGGATATTATAAAACTTCCTTCTTTGTGGAAGGTAATGTCATAAAAATATAATATCCAAAGCAATATTATTTGTCAGTAAATCTCAATTGTGTTAAAAGCTATTTTTTTTCACTTTCGGCTGAGACCCAAGGTAGGTCTTCATACCTGTGGAACAGGGGCCACCTGTCAGAACCCAAGATCGAGCAAAGCTCACAGCATCTTTAGCTATGTAGCCACTGGGCATCTGGAATTCCTGGATGGTTTCTGCATTTGCCTGTCCACACAGGCCACATGTTTTTCCAATCATCCAGAAAGAAATATGGACCTGATAACAATTTAGAAAAGAGAGGTCACATCATTGAAGGATGGGGAGGTAAAGTGAGGAAGGAAATATAGGACATTGTCTGTCTATCTAGTACAGAGGCAGTGACTGGTGAGACTCCCAACAGCCGCATCATCCTTAATATCCTTCAGTCAGAAGGGGATACACCTGATTTCCTTCTGCAGCTGAATAATCCAAGTTGACATTAACACTCGAATTTAGTGGTCAGGTAGAGAGCTGATTTGGGGGTGGGAGTGGGAGCAGAAACTACAGGACTAGGGTAGGGGCAGAGTTCACCCTTCAAACCCTTTCCTAGGTAGGAAGGTTTTATAGCAGAGCATCTTCCTAGAGACCAAGGGGAAGAACCTACTTATTATTTCAGGTGAAAATACTAGGCAAAAAAAGGACAAAGATACCTTGCATGTTTTCCCGTCATAATAAAGTTTTTCAATACCATGCTCTGGTGCAGAAAGAGAGAATCCCTGACTTTCATTCTTGATAGACACAAGTGACTCTAAAAGATAAAAAGAAAAATTCAATGTGATCTTTAATAAGAAGGAAAATTGTATCCTTCAATTCAGAAAGAAGTAATAGTTAAATCAAAGTGTGAGACCTAAAACTAGCACAGCATTTTATACATAATAAATGCTTAATAAATCTTTGTTGAGTTGATTTGAAAAGCTGAGTTGAAATTAACTGGGTTTGGATTTTCTTTTCTTTCTTTTCTTTTTTTTTTTTTAAAGCAAAGAGCTCAAGGCATCTTGTGGCTTCAAATTACGTACTAATTTAAATTCAGCTGAGGTCTTTGCTATGCTAAGCAATGGAAAGAAATACCAAGAATCATGGATTACATTAGTGAGAACCTTAAGACCCACCAACTCAGTCCCTTTCTCAAAATCTCCCAGGAGGTCCCCTCATGACCTCCTGCATCAAAATTCAAGCAGCAGGGCAGGCTACTTTGACTGAGGTCATTTGTACTAATTGGAGGAACTGAAGGAAGGGAGCTCAGCTTCCAGGCATGAATCACTGGATTAAAGGATCCTATATCTAAGTCTGGGAGGGACCTCAGAAGGGACCATCGCTTTACAGATAAGGAAACTAAGGTGAATCAGAGCTCTCACCACCAGGTTACGTCATGGTCTTGGTTGGCATGTTTCTCCATTTCTAACAAATAGAAGAGGAAAAACAAGGACCAGTAGAAGAGGGCAATACTCACCACTGCCAGAGAGGATGATGCTTCCATTCAGGGGGATCTCTTTGCTACCCACCTGAAGCCAAAGGCAACCTTGAGCAGGATACATGTCAATGTCACTTTAGAAAGAGATGGGGGTGGAGAAAGAAAGAGATAAAGGGGGGAAAAGAGAAAGAGATAGAGAGGTGAGTTGGACTGTTTAAACATTTGCTAACAAGAAAATGAGTCCATGCCCCTAGTTCATTAAAGGGTGTTTTTTAAATGATGCTCAACATATGGCATAAGGTAATTGTAATAGAAAGAACATATGCATTTGAGCAGCATATGGAAAATTTAGCCCATCAGAATTTCCAAGTAGATGATTTAATAAGCTGCTTCCACATTTGTGAAGACATATAAAATTATAATTCTCTCTTCATTTCTCAGGACAAACCAGAACCACTCTCAAATGACTGCAGTGACCTTCTGTTAGTAAAGCATCTCTACCCAGAAGCTTTGGAATGGCTTACTGATTGACCAGTTTGACATTGATGGCCTTTTGGTCAGCAGACCCTTCAGCTGTTTTTATCAACACCGGGAACCTCAGCTCGGAGCTGGCATCCTGGGTTAGGATGTGGAAGCAGTTGGCAAGCAGGGGATAGCTATACTGGCTTCCATTGAAAGTGGTGATCTTCTCTTGATTGACTGAACAGTCAGCTGAGGGAATAAGATAAAACAGTGAGAATTTGTTCATTGAAGACCATAGCATTTGGACCTGGAAGGGACCTTAAAGTCCATGTGGCTCAATTCCCCCATTTTATGATAAAGGAAACTGATTCCAGTACTCAGTGATACAGTATGGTAGATGAGACTACAAGATACAGTGCAAACAGGGCTGGATCAGAGGTCAGAGGATTGGACTACTACTACTGGCTGTGTGATCTTGGGCATTTCTCAGTTCCCTCTGCTGTAAGATGAGGAGGGTATCACCTCGAAAGTCCTTACCAATTCCAAGCCTATGGTTGTATAAAATAATTTGAAGAGAGAAAGGAGGCTGCAGTGAGGGAGTCAAGAAAGGTTTCCCATAAGAGCTAGTCCATGAGCTTACCCTGAAAGGAAGTTTGGCATTCTATGGGGCCCAAGTGAAGACATATTCCAGGCATTGGGCAGAGCCTATAGAAAGGCAGAGAGGAAGGATATGGTAGAGCATGAAGGCTATGATTCTGAGGCTGGCCCTAGTGTAAGACAGCAGGTCCTCAAAACTGCATGGGACCTCAGAGGTCTTCCAGTTATATCCCCTTGTGTTATGGATAAGGAAAGTCAGGTAGAGAGCAGTCATGTGATTTGGCCAAGCTTACATAGTCACCTTCTGACTTGAAATCCAGTATTCTTTCCACCACACTCCAAGGTAGAATTTGCTCTTTTCTTTTTTAAAAAACTTATTCTTATGCATATATTTTGTTTTTACGTTGCCTAGATTTCTGTCTGTACTCTCTCCCTCCCAGAGAATCATTTCTCATAATGAAGAAGTTGTAAAAGAAAAGGAGGAAGAGGAAGAAATCAATAAAACTGATTAACCCAGCTAAAGAATCTTGTGCTATGTGCAATGTTCTTCACCCAGAGACCTCCACCTCTGCAAAAGCAGTGCAAGGTGTCAAGACACCATTTTCTAACTCAATAAATGCTAGCTGAATTGAATTTATTTAATTTGACAGATGCCACTGATTTCCATAGGAGGATCCCCATAGGGCAGGAGTACTGCATATGTAAACCCTAAAACAAAAGCCTCTAGAGGCCAACTTTCTCACCTTGGAAAGTCTCCATAGTGGAATCTGTGACTTGTGTGAAGAAATCCCCCACCTGGACAGGCAGCTTGGAAGCTGGTGCCGGCAGACTGAGAGGGTATGGGATGGGTAAGAGAATGCCTTGTCCATAAAAAGTAACCTGCCAATGAAAAAAAGCAGCTACGTGGTGCAATGGATAGACAGTACTGTGCCTGGAGTCAGGAAGACCTGAGTTCAAATTCTACCTCAGACACTTCCTAGCTGTGTGACCCTGGGCAAGTCACTTAACCCTTTTTGCCCCAGTTTCCTCACCTGAAAAATGAGCTGGAGAAGGACATAATAAACCACTCCAGTATCTTTGCCAAGAAAACCCCAACTGGTTTCATGAAGAGTTGAACATGACTAAAATGGCTGACCAACGACAAAAGAAAAAAGAGAGTGGGTGAGAGGATTCCTTCTAGAAGAAGCCCCAAACCGTGGCGTGCTCACTCACACAGGGCAGCCTGATGGTGACATCCCCGCTTCTGGGAGATGTGACTGGCACCACTAAGCTGGCTTTCTGAAGAGGATTTTTCCAGGCTCTTTCAGAGAATCCCAGTCTAGAGAGAAGCCCAGAATGAAGGTATAAAACCTGGAAATGAGTAGAAAATATTCATCCATTCAGCAAATATATATTAAGCACCTATGAAATACAAGACACTGGGAATACAAAGAGACAGAGTGTGAAATGAAAAGAAAATAGAATTTGGAGTCAGAGAATCTGGTTTGAATTCCAGCTCTGTCATTTACTACTTGTCTTATTTTGGGACAGTGATTTACCCTCTCTGGAACTCACATTCCCCAAACATAAAATGAAAAGTTTGCTGAGGGGTTCTTAACCTTATTTTGTGCCATGGATCTCTTTGCCAATATGGTGAAGCCTATAGACCCATTCTCAGAACGAATGTTCCTTCTGAAATGTATAAAATACAATCCATAGCATTACAAAGAGAATTGAAATGATTACAAAGGAAAAGAATATATTGAAATAAAAATGTAATTTGTTTTTCCCCATCCGAGTTCACAGATGCCCTAAAAGGGGTCTATGAAAGCAGTTTCAGCTTGGGAAGTGGTGGGGGCAGGAATGGAAGTTAGGGATCATCTAGTCCATGACCCAAAAGAAATCTGTAGATCAGGTCTCCACAAATCATTTGTGACTCCTATTCCGTGCTAAGCCTAACACTCTCCATCCCAGTTCCATTTGGGAAATAGAACAGATGGAGGAGGGGGAGAATCTCACCATTTTCCCATTTCTGTGACCTCTGCTGAGACTTTTGGCCATGCAACCTTCATTTCCAAAGTGGAGTGATTATTAAACTTCCCAGTCACAATCTCCCCCAAAACTTGATATGCCTGGCAATTCTGACCCCATTTCAGGGATGCCTGCAATGCATGAATGGGACAGGACATCAGCCTACTGGGGCCTGAAGTATATGGAAATATCTGTGTGCTTTGGCCTGCTGACATGCCCATTTGGTGAGATTTGTGGCTTACCTTTGCCAAGTACAAAGTCTCCAAGGTGATGTCAACACAAGCTTTCCATTGCCTACTTTCAGTGAAATTAGTGACCCATAACTGGACCCCAGCTTTGGTGGAGTGTTTATTTGTGAAGATAGCAAACTGGAAGCCGTCAGGCTTATGGTCACTGTGTTCTACCCGAAATATTCCAGTTAGTATGGGTGGATAATTGTTCTCCAAGGACATCATCTGAGCTCAAGGAAAGAGAAGAGAGATTGGTGAACCTCACCTTCTAGGATACAATAACTCCCCTCGTATGAACGATGGAGGGAGATGAATCTGACCCATAGGGTAAATCCTATATCTAGAGTTAGAAGGATCTTAGATCATCTGTCCAAGTTTCTCATTTTACATATGAGAAAACTGAGGCCTGGTAAAGTCAAAGATTACATAGTTATTAAATGGCTGAACTGGAAAATTAGCACAAAGATACATTCACCAACAGTCCGATCAATCAACTAGGATTTATTAAATTCCTACTATATGCCAGGTACTCTGCTAAGAGCTCTCTCTCTTTCTCTCTCTGCCTCTGTGCTAAACTCTAGGGATATAAAAAGGCAAAACACGATCCTTGCCCTCAAGGAGCTTACAATCTAGTGGGAACTTACAGTCTAATGGGGAGAGAGAACATGTAAACAATTATGAATAAACAAGCTAGAAACAGGATAAATTGGGGGGGGGGGTCAGAGGGAAAGCAAATTCTCACTGAGAGACCTGAACTTAGAGTAGCAGAACTTAAGTTGAATCCTGGCTCTGACACTGTGTGACTTTGGTCAAGTCATCTTATACCTTTGGGACTCAATGTCCCCCTCTGTAAACTGATGGAGGTTAGCCTACAGAGGCTCTGAGTCCCTTCCTGCTCTAATTCTTTGATCCTGCGTGTATGAGTCTATGTCATCATGTGAGATTGTGGAGTGTCCAACTTAGATGAATATAAGGAAAGGAATAGGTAGGTAGGTAGGTAGGTAGATAGATAGATAGATAGATAATCCTTCTGGGAAGATCATAATATCTTCTTGTTTATATGCAAAGAGATGCTAATGCATGACTCCTCCAAACCCATTAGTCTATTAAAACCACAACTAATACAGGACTTGGGGCTTTGATTCAGAGTGTCTACATGCTAGGGCACATGCTTGCTCTAGGGAAAGGATGCCCTTTCTCTTTGTTCTATGACTACCATCCCTTACCTCATGCTCTTCCACCAGCAGGCATTGCCCTAACCCTAATCGCCCCCAGGCTGCCAGCCCCAGGGTTCTGTAGCTATGGTCGTACCCTCCCATCCCATACAATACCCAAGAGGGGGAGGACCAGAGTCAGCACCCAAAATCGGACTGTTTTCTGTGTCGTTGCCACAACCATTACCTTGACTGGATTTGCCTCAGCTGCTGGGATTCCTACTTTCAGCTCAGAGTGCAGTGAATTTATGAGCTGAGTTACCTGGTCACGGACAGATGGGAGTTCGGTGGTATTGCTACCTCCGTGACTATTGCTGCCACTCTCACTGACGGCGTAGCCTTGGATGCCGCCATTTTGGTCCGCTTTTTCCTTGCCAATAATATCTGAGGGTTTTTTGTCAGAAGTCAAGGAGGCAGATGAGGAATTGGAGGAACTGATGTCACTATTCTCCTGCATCCCTGGGTCATTCTTGGTAGATGGAATCCTGTATTGCTTGTGAGGGGTTTCATCTTTGATTGATTTTGCCTACAAAGCACGTAGGATGCTGGAAGATTATAACACCGAAGCCATCATGCTCCTAAGAACCAGAGAACTTGCTGGTCCTAGTTTACAACTGAGAACCATTTTCCATCTTGTAGATAGCAGTATTCATGTAGCACTTTAAAATTTGTAAAGAACTCTTTTCATTTGATCCCTACGATAACCTTGTGAGGTTATCTCCATTTTTAGAGGAAGAGACTGAGGCTGAAGGAAGTTTAATGATTTTCCCAGGGTTATACAACAAGTAAGTGTTGAAGGCAAAATTGGAACTTAAGTCGTCCTCACTCCAATTCCAGTGTTGTATGCACTCTCCCACCTAGCTGTTCTTATAATGGTACTGTGTTTATAAGGGTATACTTAATTAAATTCATCAGATCATAGATTTAAAGAGAGAAAAGATTATAGTCTCACCTTTTCATTTTACATTTGAGGAAACTGAGGCCCATAGGGAAAGTGACTGCTCAAGGTCAAAAGGTGAGAGATAAACAGCAGAACCAGAATTTGAATTCAGGTCCCTGGACTCCAAATGCTATGCTTTTCCCACTATTACCATGTTGCTTCCTCAGATTGGCTAAAGTGGTTTGCAAACCTTAAAGTAATATATAAATGCTAACTATTATTGGGTAGAAGAGAATTTCGCTGTAGAAGAATCACAAAAATCATTTCACAAGATGGGAAACATTGTTAAGAAAATATAAAAACATGGACACAAATTTATGGTTTCTTTTTTGACTTAAAAAATGCTTCAGAAGATGTGAGGGAAAACCCTCTTAATTTTTCAAGGTGATTTCATGAAGCATAATGTTAACATGGCTTGGGTTTACCTGAGACAATCTGGATGGGCTCTGCTACAAAGCAACTCACACTAAGCCCTTTTTCTACCCCTAGGATCTTTTTGAAATTCCTTTGCATCTGTCCTGCTGCAACTCCTTGGCACTCACCGTCTGGGTTAGTCTGGAAGCTGCGTTAGGTCCTGCTTCGATTTCCAGCTTGATCTTCTCAACACTGGTATCTGTAGAAAGTGCCCAATGCACAGGACGTCAGTATTCTTGGTCTCCCGTCCACCATCCCCATGAGGAAGCCAACTCTTTCCTTACCTGGTTTTGCTACAAGCCAAGCCTCATGTGTTCCCACTGTGTGATGGAGAACAGAGCCTTGGAATGATGCGGCACTAAGGGATTTCATGGAAAGGTAGGATTGAAAACCCAAGTAAGGCAGGCTGAGCCAAGCATCTTGGAAGTGGGCCTTTTCACTTTCATCATGGGGAAGCTCGGCCTCGGAGGAATTGGAGTAATTGGGAGGGATAGCTTCAGAAGTCCTTCCTTTCTACATTTGAACAAGGACATTGTGGAAATCATCATTAAGAAGCAGGGGATGGTACCCCCAAGAGTCATCAAGCAAATAATTGGTCAACAAGCATTTATTGAGCACCTACTATGTGCTAGGCTGACTTGCAGTTCCTTGAATGTGACATTTTCCCATGTTTTTGCATAGACTGTCCCCTAGTTCTACAATGCTCTGCCCCCTCAATGCCGCTTCCTGGTTCTCTGGTTTCCTTGAAGACTCAGTTCAAATCCTCTCTTCTACAAGAGGCCTTTCCTGGGTTCCCCCCCACCTCCCCAGAAGCTAAGGCTTTCTACCCTCAGACTGCCTTCTATCTCCTCTATATCTCTCATATGGACAGAGTTCTGTATCCAGGTTACCTGCCCTGCCCCTGAGGATGGGAGCTTGTTGAGGGCAAGTGGGGATCTCCCAATTCTTTGTATTGTTGCCAAAGCTTAGCCCGTAGTAGTAGGTAAGTACTTGATAAATGTTTGTTAACTGACTGACAGGGCTCTGGGGACACATACAAAGAAAGAAATAATTTCTCTACTCTCAAGGAGCTTCCATTCCAACAGGGCCATAAGAAGGGTGTGCGCACACATGCACGTGTGTGTGTGTGTGTGTGTGTGTGTGTGTGTATTCCTTATCTGTAAAATGAGCTGGAGAAGGAAATGGCAAACCACTCCAGTGTCTCTGCCAAGAAGACCCCAAATGGGGTCACGGAAAGCCAGATACGACTGTACAACGACAACAACACAATATATAAATACACATACATCTATACATGTATGAATACATATGAGAAATAAATATATATATATACTTATATATAATACATGTACATATGTTGGGTCAATATATACATATGTGCATGTGTACGCACATACATAAACAAGAGATAAAAATTGTATTGTGCACACATATGTGCTTATGCATAGATAAATTATGCAAACACATTTGTATATGTATGTGTGTGGGCATGTGTAACACAGGTATTTTGTGCATACGTACTTAGCCCCTTGTTTATATATCTATTCATATGGGATATGAATACTGCTCCCATATATATGTATATGCATACATATACCCACATGCTTGTATATGTACATGTTCATGTGTGTATATATGTGTGTGTATATACACATATACATCTTATATGCCTGTTAGAATGGATATTCTACACACACACACACACACACACACACACACACACACACCACATACTTTATCCCTCCCACAACTAGGTTCAACCAGGTTGTACCACTGGCCCTAGGAAGTCAGCTTACTCGGACTAAGCCGCAACGCTGGCTACTTATTTAACTAGACTGATAAATAGTTGTTCACTTATTTCCCAATCATGTCCAATTCTTCATGACTTCTTTTGGGGTTTTTATACCATACATACACATATATGTATGTATATGTGTATGCATATTGTGTATATATGTATGTATACATACATATATATGGGGAGAGAGGAGAGAGAGAAAGAGAGGGAGAGAGAGAGAGAGAGAGTGAGTGAAAACGGTAGCACAGTGAGTGTTGAATTTGAAGTCAAGAAACCTGAATTCATATCCCACCTGAAACACTAACTAGCTATGTGACCTTGGGCAAGTCACTTAACCTCTGTCTGCCTCAGTTTCTTCATCTCTAAAATGGGGTTAACAGGGTTGTTATGGGGATCAGATGAGAGCATGTGGGCAAGGTGGTTTGCAAACCTTAAAGTGCTATAGTGATGCTATCTCTTAAATACCAAGGAAGGAGGGAGAGTGCCAGCAGGTGGAGGATCAGGAAAGGCTTGCTAGAGAAGGTCCTGCTTGAGCCATTGTCAATGTTAGTTCCCAGGTCTTCAAACAATCACACACTGACTGTCTCTCTGTGATAGCTAATGCCCTTGTGGCCATTTTTCATGGGAACCTCTAATCTTCCATATTTGTTATAACCTTGCCCGCTACCTTCAAAGTCATCTCTCAGAACCAAATTGCCCCTTGGAGATCTCAGATCCTGCTTCCTTGGGAACCAGAGGAATCTTCTTTTTGGTTTCTGGCTCCCCACCCTTTCTTGATATAGCAAATGCCTTGGTGCTGTGGAACAGTGAGAGGAGACTGGGTACCAGGGGTTGCTAGTTATTGGCCATGACTCGGTCCCTGCATTCATCTCTGAGATTGGGGAAAGGGAGGCCCTAGAGAAGCAGTTATTGGCTTAAGAAAACAGGGCTATTCCAGAAAGTCAATAATATGAATGAATGAATACAGGAAAACCAATAGACTTACCAGTACACTATTTGAAATCTCTAAGAATAAATGTCTCCAACTGAACTGAATCTTTCAAAGTGGCTGTAAGAAGCAGCTCTGTAATCAGAATATCCTGATGGAAGGCATGCTAATTTGAGAGTTCCAGCTGAGTCCCAGCCTTGTCATTGCTGTTCTGTTCCCTCAAGAAGGAGTTTGGGGGAAGATGTTGATGACTAGCATACCTGGCCATCAGCAGCTCAGTCTCTTGGCGCCATGGGAAGGTTTCACACTTAAAGTTTTTCTCTTTTAGGTCCAACTTCATGTCCAGTTTTGTTGGGTGTGCTGCCTGGAGCTTTGCCTGGAGCTCAATGCCAGACTGGAAGACAGGGGTGTTGGTGGTCATCGCTGCCACAGAGTACCAGTACATGCTACAGGAAGAGGAACAAAGCAAGGGTTGCATATGTAATGAGCAGGGGTGATACCATCTCCTATTTACACTGTCCAGCATCCCTCAGAGGAATCCTTCTGAGACAGACAGATAACATACACAGAGAGCCATAACTAGGGTGGGTGACTGGAGCTTTGTACCTGGGCACCAGAACTTCAGGGACATGTATATAGCACTTGTACTCCTTTGGCAGATGAAATAACTGACAGGTTATACCTACCTGAAGGAGGGGACAGGCTTTGTGCTTACCTCTACCACTATGTCCTTTCTTCCCTCAATATTTGGGAAACCCAGAGATCATCAGCTGTGTCAAAGGGACATTGGTCAGATTTTCTGGAGAATGAGTTTTATGGTCACCATGAGCAACTGTGTTCTACAACATTGTGCCACTGGTCCAAGGAAGTCAATTTAGGCTAAACTGTGATGCTGGCTACCCATTTAACTAGATTTGTTTGTAGACAAAGAATTAATAAAAGCATTAAGTCAGGAATGTTCATGAAAGCTGCCCATGGCACAAGGAAGGGGAAGGCAGGCTCCATATGTTGACCAGAGGAATCCCAAGATTTTTCTGTGCCCTAGGTGAGCTCCTGACCAGTCCAGCCTTGCCATGGTCCCTCTCCCAAAAGCAATCTCTTTGTGGAATTGGATAGGAGTCTGCCTCTCTCCAACAGGGTTTATCCAAGGTCTCTTCCCAAGTATACTCCTAACCCTTTGGTTTCATGATGCTTACTCCAATTATAATAATTACTAGACATAATTCTGTACACACATGTGTGTGCACATCTACAGTCATGTGCACGAGGAATGAAAGCAAAGGATAAATGGGCCCCAGTACCCAAACTGTTTCCATAGCAAGACTTGGCAATAAGAGAGATTTGAAGAAGGGCCTGTGGGGAGCAGATTGCCCATTTGAGGATGAAGGGCTGTCTACTCATGCTCTCCTCTTCCTTCTGAAAGTATTGAATAAAGCTCATTTGTTAAAGGAGGGAGTTGAAAGCAATGGTTTCTAAGCTCCCTTCTAAAACTCTAAATCTATGATTCAATGAAGGCCCTTTTCCAGGGTTCCTAGCTCTTACAAAGGGGTGACTGGCTAATCCATGTCTCTTGAAAGGGTTTATTTACCCAGTTCTAAGAAGAGGCATGGAATCCTAGGGGGAAAGGACAAGTTGCAGTCCCCAAATAAACCAGAAAATCTGTCTGGTCTCTTGATACCCTTAAAATGAAGAAGAATGAGAGAATATTCATTAAGTAGTTACTGTGTGCCAAGCACATATTAAAAACTGAGGAATTAAAAAAAAAAGTCCCTTCCCTACAGATGCTTACATTCTGATGGGGGGAGATAACCCATAAAGGGGAATGGGGACTACATAAGACTGATTGGACCTCTACAAGGCATCTGGGAATCTGAGAATACAGAGATGGGGACCAGGAAAATGGACCCTTGGGGCCATGGGACCCCATCTTCATCTATTTTCCATTTTCCATGTTGATGTGGATGCTGCTGCTGCTGCTGCTGCTTCACCCCCAAACTGGAGCTCCAGAGCCCATGTCCATGCTAAGGCATTCCTGAATTCTATGCTTACTTCTCTTCTTTTTCATCTCTTGCTCTGAGAATTGGCATGAAATCAATCCTACTCTTGTCCATGGGAAAGGAAAGTCAGTAGTCTTCTCTTTAGCCCTTGTGACTTCCAGACATTCTTTTCCTGATCACCCTTCCCCTAGATGTGTTATCTCCCCTTTTAGAATATAAGCTTCCTGAGGACAAGAATTGTATCACTTGTGTCTTCCCCAGTCTTTAACACAGTTAACTTAATAAATACTGGATCATGAATTTTCATTAAAGGGGAACAATGGGGCAGACAGATTTTCTGGTTTATTTGGGAGCTGAAACTTGTCATTTCCCCACTTTGGATTCTATGGTCTTCTAGGGGAGTTGATACACCCTTTCCAGAGGCCATGTTCCCTAATTGGTCAATTACTCCAGTGGAAGCACTGGAAGAGGACCTTCATGGGATCATAGATTTAATGTTGAAAAGGAACTTAGAAACCACTGAGTCCAACCACATCATTTTAAAGATGAGGAAACTGAGGCATAGAGTGGTGACTTGCCAAGAATTTGAACCCAGGTCATCCTGACTTCAAGTCCAGGGTTATATCTACTATACGATGCTGGCTCTGGCTTTACCGAGGGAAGTCATCATTACATGTTGATGGAGTAATAGCAACCATCTCCTAGTCATCGGAGAGGTACATTATGGGTTCCTTAGTACTCTCAACATCCTCTGTTGGAAACGTCTCTCCTTACCGTGGTTTGATGTCAGCAAGCATTTGAACTACAGGGCTGGATGACTGAGGAGTTACAGAATCGTCAGACAGAGGAAAGGCTACTTTGGCATCCACTGTGAATTACAAAATACAGACAAAGGTCACCTAAACCCTAGGAAGAGGAATAGAAGACTGTTCCCCAACTGGCTCCTCCTTCTCTCACCAACCCGATTTTCCACTACTCCAGAGGACATTCCCTACACTCGAGTCAGGTTGGTCTCATAGGTTCATATAGATATAAGGGACCTCGAGGGTCATAGGTTTATATTGCTAGAAGAAGCCTCAGAAACCATCTTGTCCAACCACCTCATTTTACAAATAAGGATACTGAGGGCAGCTAAGTAGGACTTGTGAGTCCAAAACAAATATTCTTTCCATGGCACCATGCTGTCCAACTGACTCATTTTACAGGTTAGGAAACTGAGGTCCAGAGTGACTTGTTCAAGGTCATACAAGTACTAGGTCTCAGAGACAGGACCCTGCTTCCTTCAGTCCAGGACTCTTTCCATCACACCACACAGTCTCTATCCTGGTACTCTGTTCATCCTTTCCTTAATTCCTTGGTTATTGGTATTCTACCTCTTCTCAAGCCTTGCTCAAGTCTGTCCTCTGGAAAGCCTTCCTGGTCCCTCTAGCTCACACTCACCTTCTCTTGTCTGAACTCCTAGAGTCAGAGCCATGTATGCTCCCTATGTGCCATCTTTGGTTCTTCAAAAAGACTATAAGCTCCTTGAGGGCAGGGACTATATCTGCTACATCATGTAGCAGTTGGAGGTGATGGAGTGACATAGCCAAACTCACCATTAGCTGAAAGATGTGTTAGGGCAGTAGCATAGAAACTGTATTCCAAGGGCAGTCCCATGGAGGTAGGGATGACGTACCAAAGTTCTACCAACCCCAGGGCCTGAGTCCACTGGCCTGAGATACCACTGAACAGCTGAGAGATTTTCTTCAGTATATCATATCCATCTATTGGCTGCGCCAGCTCCTGCCAGGGACAGAGGAAGGGGATCAGTAGGAAGGTGAGGTGAGGTGAGGTGAGGTTTGAGAAGGTGAAAGGAGGGGAGAACCACAGTCAAGTCCACAAGAAGACACCAAGCCTGAAGCTTGGGGGAAGTCAGTACCTTCAAAATATCCTGCACAAAGTCCTTGTCCACATCAAAAAAGGCAAGTTCTTGATCAAACAACTTTAGATCAGCAGACAGCAGTAGCTTGACAGCTGGTAGCTCCTTCCATCCTAACAACTATAGAAGGATGAGGGGAAAAGTCAGCTTAGATATCCTTCTGAGCACTCAGTGAATAGAATATTGCTGCAAATGACAGAGATTCTCCTGAAGTAGTATGGTGCAGTAGAAAGGATTCTGTTTTGGGGGTTGAAGGATCTTGGTTCAAATCCCAGCCCTGACATTTTATCTGAGTGACTTAACCTCTCAGGGCCTCAGTTTCCTTATTTGTAAAATGAAGGGGTTGCACTGGATGGTCTCTACCATTCCTTGCAGTTCTAAATCAAAGATTCTATCTTAGCTTCAAAATTTCCATTCCTTGACTTTTTTTTCCCTTCTTTGAAGACCTCTTTTGTTCTGCTTCTCATCACTGAATGCTATTGTGCCATAAGGAGCAAGGAAGGGCCTGGTTTCAGAGAAACCTTGGAGAACTGGTATGAACTGATGGAGAGTAAAGAGAGCAGGATGAGGAGAGCCATTTATACTATAACTTGACTCTGTAATAACAAAAAGCAACTTAAGAACTCTGATCAACACAATAACCAACAGATTTCTAAGGACCCGTTTGGAAGAATACTGCCTACCTCTTGACTGAGAGGAAAGGAACTCACTGTGCTGAATGAGACATTTCTAGCCTGTGGGGAAATTTGTCTTGCTTGACTAGGCATATTTATTACAAGCTTGGTTTTGTGTGTGTGTGTGTGTGTGTGTGTGTGTGTGTGTGTGTGTGTGTGTGTGTTCTGTGCTTTTCCCCCTCAGGGGATGAGACCGAGAGAGGGAAAGAAAATAAATACTTGTTAATTGGGGGAGGGGGGAAGAATATTGATTTAAAAAAAAGGAAAAACTGCCCATTTGTTGCACGCTTGAAGCAGTTCTCTGAATGCCTGGGCAAGTTATAACAACTCTCTGGTTAGCCATTAAGCAGCTTGGAAAAGTGCATTCATTTTTTTTCCCTTATCTCTAATAATAGCTGTCATTTATATAGTTCCTTTAAATTTGCAAAGCATCCATGCAGCATCGCATTCAAGCTTTACAGCAATTTGTTATGGTAGGTCTTCCAAATATTATCTTTGTTCAACAGACTCAGAAACAGAGGCTCAGAGAGGTTAGGTAGTTTTCTTAAAATCACATATCAAATAAGTATCAGAGTCAGAATTTGAAGCCAGATCTGACTTCATCTACCTGTGAAACAGTCTTTCTGGAAAAAAAAAATAGTGCTGTGTGTAATTCTGTTACTATGGATTGACAACCAAGAGTAACCTTTTGAACTTCCAGAGGTTTACCCCTGTAGTCTACGTACTGTCTTACTTCTAAAGAAACCTAAATATCCGGCTGATTGAAAGGCCAACAGTGTTGGGGATTCATTTTAAGTTTCATTTGGACAGCTGCTGTAGTCTTGTGCAGGCCAGTAGACCTCATGGCTTAAAGAAGACCTTTTTTAATTCTAATTTTAATTAATTAATTAAACATTTTTAATTCAATCAATCAACACTTATTAAGCACCTATTAACTGTTGGGGACACAAACCAACTAAAGACACTCCTTACCCTCAAGGAGTTTACAATCTAATAGTGACATAGGAAAAATGAAACAAAACCAAAACAACTCCTGCCTCCTCTGGACTAAGGATAACTCAAGATTGTCTGTTTCACCAGAATTAAATTCCTCCGCTCATGCTTAGGTCTGACAAATAATTAAATCATCCTCTATGTGTGAACATTCACCCTTATGACTGTACTTAGAATTTTCTAAGTTGCTGCTTGTGTAGGGAAATACTTAGTGAGCTAAAGGAGTCAGGCAAGTTCCCAAAGGTGTCCAGGCTAATGGGAATTTGGAAACTGGGTTTGATAATCACTTTGAGTGACAATGTGTTTAAATCATTCCTATCAAACTTGCTCCACTGTAAAAGCCCTGAATGAATGGCTGAGCTAAAATCACCAACATATACAAATGTCTCATCTCTATTCCTTTCATTCACATTTTTCTATTTTACATAAGTGATACATCACTTTGTAAGGAATTCAAGAAAAATGAAAAGAAAATGAGCAGAGAAGAGCAGGCTAACGGGTGGTCTCATAATTATGTTCAGGTATAGGATTTTTTGAAGTAGACGTGTGGCAATTATTTTCCACATTCACAAAAATAAAACAATCAAGAAGAGAGGGCTTTAATTAAAGCAGAAGAGGTTCTAGTTGGGCAAAGGAAGAATTTCTTGACAGCTAGGTTGAGCCAATGATTAAGAGAGATTGTAAAGTTTTTATTCTTGCAGATAAATTGGAAGAAAGTATACAAGCTTCTGCCTAAATATATACACACCTGCCTCTGGCCAGGAATTAGAGATGATTCCTAAAAATCCTTTTGTAATTCTGTATTTGTATTGTTCAGATTTGAATTATTTTGGTTAGAAGAAAATGTGGGATGGGGGTAAGAACCTTCATTCTAGAGTCAAAGGTCCTGGGTTCATCTGTCCCCTGTAATGCCCATTGCCTGAGTGACAGGGATCAAATTTAGCCTAGGTTTCCTCATCTGTAAAATAAAGATGTTGGACTTAAAGACCTATGAGGTCCTGTCCAGTTCTACATCTACAATCCTTCAATATTTTCCAAATTCCCATTTTCAATTGCTTTTTCATCTTGATATACTCTTTCTTCACCTCTGCTTCTCATACTGCCCCTATCCTATTCATACTACCACTCTGGGAGGTGGATAATAACTCACATGTCTATGGTGCTTTATGCTTACACGGTGTTTTTCTCACAATAACTAAGGCTCAGAGTGGCTACATGATCCATCCATGGTCACACAGCTAATAAAGAGTCTGGGTTTGGAATCCAGGTTTTCTGGCACTCGTGGCAGCACCCTTTCCTACATAGGTCTGTCCAGTTTACAGGGAAATATGGCACTCCAGAGCAATGGTAATACATGATATTGGCTGATGGTAAGTAAGAAGAGTAATGTCAAGTAAGGAGACTCGAGTTCAAATCTTATTTTTGTCACACCCTAGTTCAGGGGTTATTAACTTTTTTTGTGTCTTGCAACTTTTTGACAATCTGAAGAAGCCATTGGACCTCTTCTCATAAGAATGCTTTTAAATTCCTAAAATAAAGGTTTACAAAGGAGACCAATTATACTGAAATATTGTTATCAATTAAAAAAAACAAAACAAGTTCATGGCCTTGGTTGTATAACCATGGGCAGATCAGTTAATCTGAGTCTCAGCTTTCTGCACAGGAGGGAAAAATGTACACTGCCTACTTAATGGGGATATGGGATAATGTGCTTGATAAATCTATAGGAAGGCAAGTATTTATTATTAGAGAGATCCAGCCTCCTGATTTCACATTACAGGCAGATAAAGGATAACACCTACTGTCTTTACAAGTTCCTTTATCTTCCCGTGTGTGGAATACTCCATAAATGATGTATTCGCTTTCTTCACAATCTCTGTCAAGCCTTCAGCTTGTATACCAGCCTAGCAAAACAAAATGAACAAACAAAAAAACCAGCCATCGGTCAGTCAGTAAACATTGATTAAGTGTTTATTATGTACCAGGCGCTCTGCTAAGTGCTGGGGATACAAAAAGAGGCAAAAGACAGTTCCTGCTATCAAGAAGCTCACAATCTATCAGGAGAGACAATAAGCAAACAAAATATATGCAAACAAACTGTGAATAGGAAAAAAAATAGGAAATGATTACAAAGGGAAGGCACTAGGATTAAGAGGGATTGGGAAAGGCTTCCTACAGAAGATGAGATTTTACTTGGAACTTGAAGGAAGCCAGAGAAGTCAGAAGGCAGAGATGAAGAGAGCACATTCTAGGCTTGGGAGACAGAGAAAATGCCTGAAGCTGAGAAATTAGTCTTATCTGAGGAATAGCCAGGAGGCTACTGAAGAAAAGGTGTTGGGGAGTAAGGCTTAAGAAGACTGGAAAGGTAGGGGAAGAGAAGGGCCAGGTTATGAAGGACTTTGAACACAAAACAGAGGATTTTGTATTGATACTGGAGGAATATGGAGTCACTAGAGCTCACTGAATGTGGGAGATGAGGGGTAACATAGTCAGATCTGAACTTTAGGAGAATCCCTAAATTAGCTTCCATTTGATAGCTAAATGGAAGATGAATTGGAGTGAGGAGAAACATGAGGCAGGCAATAGTCAAAGCTTGAGGAGATGAGGATCTGCACCAGCATGGGGGCCATGCCAAAGGAGAGAAGGGGGCATATTTGAAAGATGTTACAGAGGCAAAATCACCAGGTCTTAGAAACACATTGGATCTGAGGGTTGGGAGATGGTGAGGAGTCAAGGATGATACCTAGGTTTGAGCCTGAAGAATTGGAAGATTGGTGGTGCCCTTGATGGTAACTGAGAAGTTTGGAGAAGGTGGGGAGAGTTTGCAGGGGTGGGGAACCTGCAGCTTCTAGGTCTTCAAGTGTGGCCCTTTGACTGAAACCAAACTTCACAGAACAAATCCCCTTAATAAGAAGATTTGTTTTCTAAAACTTGGACTCAGTCAAAAGGCTGCACCCCGAGCACCTAGAAGGCCACATGAGGCCTCAAGGCCATAGGTTCTCTACCCCTGGTTTAGGGTGAAAGAATGAGCTCTGTTTGGGGCATGTTTAGTTTACGATGACTGCTAGACATCCAATTTGAGATGTCTGAAAGGCAATTGGAGATATGAAATTGGAAGTCAGCAGAGACCGGTAGATTTGAGAATGGTCAATATAGAGATGGTAATTAAATCCATGGGAGCTGATGAGATCACCAAGTGACTTGGGTATAGAGTGAGATAAGAACAGAGCCCAGGACAAAACCTTACAGGACACCTACAGTTGGAGGAGAATGAGAAGGAATAGTCTGATGGATAAGAGGAGAACCAGGAAGGAGTCATGTCCTGAAAACCTAGAAAGAAGAGAGCATCAAAGAATATCAAGAAGGAATATCAGAGGCAGCTAGGTGGTGCAGTGGGTAGAGCACCGGCCTTGGAGTCAGGAGGACCCGAGTTTAAATCCAGCCTCAGACACTTGATACTTATTAGCTGTGTGACCCTAGGCTAGTCACTTAACCTCACCAAAAAAACAAACACCTCCCCCCCACAAAAAAAAAAGGAGTAACAAGATTGATCAACAGTGCAAAATGCCACAGTGAGGTCAACAAGAGCGAGGACTGACAAAAGACCATTGGAATGAACAATTAAGAGATCATTGTTAACTAGAGAGAGAAGTTTGATGGAATGTTGAGGTCAAAAAACAGGGGGGGTCCAGAAGTGAGTGAGAGGAGAAAATGTGGAGGCATCCATTAAAGAGGACCTTTTGAAGGAGTTTAGCCACAAATGGCAGAAAGTGATAATAAATGGGGATGGGAGGGTAGAGTGAGAGTTTTTTGAGGATGGGAAGATGGGGGCATGTTTGTAGAGAGTAGGGAAGAAGCCAGTAGACTAGGAGAGATTGAAGAGAAGGGACAGAGTGGGGATGATGGAAGGGGGAGCCTGTTGGAGGAGACAGAAAGGAACGGGATTGCTCTTACCAGTGGAAGGGTGGGCATTGGTGAGAAGTAAGGCTACTTCTGCATGTGAGACAGAGATGAAGGAAGACATGGGGCATAAGGCATTTAAGCAGTATGAGATGCAGGAGAGGAAAAGGGGAAGTACAGGGTGAATGGCTACAGTTTTTTTTTTTTTCCCTGTAAAATAACAGGCAA